ATCGTGTGAGCTACACATTCCGAAGGGGAATTCCACAATCAAGGTGGCTATCGGTCTTGTTAATCCTATCGACCGAACCAAGACACCAAGGATTCATGGGAATATAATCCAAGAAGGATATGCTACCATCTCGGTAGATAAAGCTAAAAAAGGTTTTAGGGATTTGCCTCTTGACATTCCTGGAGGTGATGGCGAGAAGACTCTAGGAGAAGCAGAGAAGACATTCATTCTATGGCGCAAGCGCTACATCATCATTCTGGGGATGTCGCCTCCACCTCCTCCTGAACTACCTCACCATAGGTGCGAATAAAAACACTACATCATTAATTTATATTGGCTTAAATAATTAACAATCTGCTCATAATAATATGTCATTCCTTTTTTTGTAGAAGATCCTCCCCCAACCTAAGTCCAATTGTTCAATCGCCAGATCATCATAGTGCTCTGTACGATGACAATGTGTTGGAAGGCGAGGCTGCATCCACACCATCTCCAAGGAGGTATCCAACGCCGTAGTCGCCACCTCCAAGGAGGTCTCCAACATCGCTGCCACCACCTCCAAGGAGGTCTCCAACGCCTCCCCCACCCCCGCCTACCAAGAAGCCAAGTACTAGCAAGAGGCCAGCCCCGCAAATGAAGAACCAGCCCCCACCGGCAAAGAAAGCCACCGTGAAACCAAGGGCTATTCCCAAAATAATATCTGAAGAGAAGGAAGAAGTAACTGATGCATATAAAAAAGATGTCTAGATTCTATGACAAACTTAAAAAGGATCAAGAAGCAAGGAGAAACCGTACTTCTTCGTAGCTCCAGATATTCTAAGAAAAAAGGTGGCTTCTTACCAGCAACAACAGCGGGAATCTCATAAGCCATCCAAAGCAACATTAACAGACTATGACCGCACTCTCACCAAGTCAATTGAGGCAGCACAGAAAAAGAATCGGGCAGGGAAAGGAGTTGCACAACTCGGACAACAATCTCACCAATCCGTCCCCCCGCTAGTTGTTGGTAATGAATATGGTTCGAATTTAGGATTAATGCATCAGGCAAACATACCTCCGGATGTCAATTTGGATCACCTTTGGTGAATTTATTGAAGAGACTGGTCTCGACCTTTACCATATGTTTGGTGATGGAAACATTGAGAGTGCGGCGGAGGTTGATATTTAGAAGAAAAAATTTGTACTAGGCCAAAGTCTATACAACCCTCAAGCCTTAGGTGATTTGGGGACGCAAATGTACCTGCTAAACAAGTGGTACATGCAGGCGTCTACCGGTGGAGACTTCTGCGTTGGTGTCAGAAATAGAGACGAACATTGGTTCCGTGGCGATGATGTTATGTATGTTGACTTTGCAGAATTTCATCAACTATGCCACCTGACCTCTCTTGACAAAGTTATCATTAGCTGCTATTGCCTGTAAGTAATAATTCTTTCGATCTATTATTAAACTCATCATATGTGTGTATATGCATATAAATTATCCTAACAAGTACTATATATATGCAGATTTACAATGACAGAGCGCAGAAAGAAAGGCTGCAATGAAATTGGTTTTGTTGATCCCCATATAGTATTCAAAGACCCAGTTACTCCAAAGCCTAATTGGAAGTCTAAGTCAGAGAGTAACCTCATGAACTTCTTAGTGAACCAACGCCACAAGAAGAATATACTCTTCCCCTACAACTTCAAGTGAGTGTTAATAATGTCGATCATCCTTAATGGCTCATATGTTGATTCTAGTTAATTAATGAGTGTTATGCGTTATATCCTATAAACATATGCAACAATCACTAGATATTGATGGACATCGATCTGGTGAAAAGTCACTTGATAATCTATGACTCGATGAGAAAACCACAACAAGACTACCAAGATATGATAGATATTATCCAGAGATAATTTCGGTATCTCTAGCAACTATATATACACACAAACATATGATGATTAACTATATCTGATGATGTGGTAAATTTTTTATTGGGCAGTGTTTGGAAAACCTTTATTGAGAAGCAACACATGGGAAAATGCAAAGCGCCACTGAATGTAATCCCTTTGAAAGTAAGTCCCCTAAATCGCATCATCTTTATTAATTAAGCATATAGCTTTCACCGGATCACCAGATTGGATGACAAATCTTTTTCTCGTAAAGTGGTGTCTGAGGCAGGAATAGGGAAACAACTACTGTGGTTACTATGTTTGCGAGTTTATTAAGCAGGTCTCCCAAAGAACTCCTACAGAGAGACTCAAAGTACGTTAAAAATACACTATATATTCATTTAATTATTATTATTGATTGTGTTACTATGTCTTTATATATATATATGTATGTACATATATTAATTTATTTTCCTTTAATTCAAACCTATAGGCTCGATGGTTGGAGGAAAAGGTCATACGGCAAGACCAGTTCAAAGCAATTCAAGAGTCTATAGCCGGATTTTTTAATGACCAGGTCATCGATTCCAAGGGCGAGTTCTACTTCGACCCAACACTGCCATGAAAGCCAAGCTAGAGGATGAGAGGAAACTTGTTATATCACAACAACTGTAATGCAATCTTTTGTAATATATACACATGAAATAATATAATGTAAAATACACATATGCATGCATGCATGTAAATATATATATGATGCATGCATGCATATATATGTATATATATATATATAGTTCTATGCTTGAATTGTGTCATTTAATACGTTCATTGTGCTTGAACCGAAACATACTATACGCGCGTATAAATGTATTATTAGCAGCGTACAATACGACTTCGAAAACCTATTTTGAAAAGAAAACAAAAAAATGAAAAGAAAAGAAAAAAAAAAATAACCTTTAGTCCCGGTTGGTATTATCAACCAGGACTAAAGGGTGCCGGCCTCGTGGCATGTCAGGAGACACCTTTAGTTCCGGTTGGTGTTACCCACCGGGACTAAAGGTCCCCTTTAGTCCTGGTTCCTAACCCGGGACTAAAGGACCCCGTTTAGTCCCGGATGCTTGCTCCTGGGTGGGGAACCGGGACTAGAGGGGGTTCCCCACCGGGAGTAAAGCTCTGTTCTCTACCAGTGCTTGTTGCCTATAGCGTCCTATAATAATACATGATTGAGTACAAAACTCATATAAAGGCTAGAACAAAATTTTCGTTTCCTAAATATGGAATTTAATTTAGACTTGTGTCATGATGCACCCATGCGTAAAACACATTGCAGATGCATGTTGATGTTGTATCCAGTTGTCCTTTAATTTACAAGGGACTTACAATTTTGTTGTTTTTCCGTTTATTAAACCTCATCCATGTCTGTTCTTAATGAAGAGTGTCTATCCCAGTTTTTACATTACAAGCAAAATATTCATGCGTTGTAACAAAACATAGACCTTATCGCAGTGTCACCAAAATAATTTATATCTCAGAGAATTATGTGATGGTCACGTCATCTATTACAACAAGGATTTGAATCAAACTCTATACTGTCGTTAGAGTCAGACACACGAACATGTGCAGTTCTAACTTGAATAAGCATGGGTCCTGAGTCCACGTACCGGAGAGGTGTCAGCGCATTATGAAAAAAAAATAGATGGGGAATTCTTTCGGTTTTTAATATTAATAGAGGTACGGGCTTGCTAGTGCCCAGACGTTCGGACCGACTGCCTACAGCCCCACGCTGTTTCGTGCGTCCACACGGGGCCCGCGGCGCCCTTGAATGTCCCCAACATCGAGAAGAGGGGAGGAGGCGGCAGATGCCAGGCAGCACCGAGAGTAAGAGACACCGAGATGAGACAGCAGAAAGCGAGAATGGAGATGCAACAACCGATCTACTTTTAAAATATCCGGATGCAACATTTGCATCTTACGTCTGAAGGCAGATGAAACACTTAAAATATGCATCTGAAATACTTGAAAAAACACATGAAAAATATTTGAAAACATTATAGAACATATGCAACATCTAGATAAAACACTTGTACATATGTGTGAAACATATACAACATCAAAATAAACACACTTTCAACATACGTCTGGAAAAAACAGATGAAACATTAGAAACAAAAGCTTATAACATACGTGTACAACCATTGCAACATATGCAACATCCCAATCCACTGTTGCAACATCCATATGAAACACTTATAACATGCCTATGAAACATCTGAAATACTTGAAACATACGTTTGCAACATGCATTTTCAGCACAACATCTCCTTGCTTCTTGTGAGAATAGAGGCTCATCGGCGTGTGTTCACCGGAGGCAGCGGCCCGGGGCAAGGAGCGGAGAAGATGGCGCCCACATCAAGTTCAAGGAGGCAATGGACAGATCTCGAAAGAAGGGCAGCTGGTGGTCCTCAACAGTCCAGGCGTGGGGGAGCAAGCGTGGAAGTGCGACAGGTGGGCAGGGAGGGCGGCAGCGATGCCAGGTCGGAGCAGCAGGCAGGGCGGGGCTGCAGGCGACGGCGCGGCGCTGCGAGCTGCACGCGGGTTGCGACGCGTTGGTGATGGATGAGGGCCGCGAGGCAAGAATACGGATCTTTTTTTAGAACTCCCAAGCAGATAGGAAGGGGTAGTAGGGTCATCGTCGTGGCCCATCAAGGGAGCATCCAGAACGGACGGACTGCGCCGCTTCCTAGAATTACCGATAGAGATATAGACAGAGCATATGATTTTGCAAAAACAAAAGAAGTCCTAAACCGAGTTCAAACATATATATAGATTATATGATCTTGCAAAAGGTAGACGTATGCTTTTTTTTTTTTGAAAAACTCACCGCATGCTAAAATTGATCGCCTGTCCACATCTCCTGAACGGACTCGGTATCGATCCGGAAAAGGAAACAGGAACATGTGAGGAAATAAAAGACGAGAAGCTCGTGCGGCGTATGCCCAAGCCCAAGCATATATACGTACATACCGCGGCTCTGTAGTAGACTCCCAACCTCAATCAATCAGTTACGAGCTGAGTATAATTAATCGGCGATCAGCAACGTAACGAAAGCAGAGTCGGCGGCCAACATGTCATCCGTGGCGGGGATAGCGGCAACGGCGGAGAAGCTAGCGCGGAGCGTGGGGAAGGCGGCGTGGCTGGCGGGGACGACGTTCCTTGTGCTGGGCCTCCCGCTGCTCTTTGTGCTTGAGCGCGAGATGCAGATTGAGCAGATGGAGTATGAGCAGCAGTCCCAGATGCAAGCACTCCTCGGCGGGCCTTCGGACGTAAACAATTCTTACTATTAATCGTCTATCGGCAGCGGTTCAGTAGGCTTTAGTAATTGTCAGCCTTAATTGTTTTCTCGTCGGGTCGATGCAATCAATTAGGAAAATTTGAGGTCTTCTCTTCTGCGCCTGTGGATTTGATCAGTTTTATGGCCATGAGAAGAGGAAACTTCTTGGAGAAATATTAAGCCATCGATTAACAATGTTTTTATATATGCATGTGCAAGGATATATTGCCGTCGACTTTCCAACTTGTTCTGGGTTTCTTGATAAGAAAAATAAACCATGATCAATTGGTTTCTTATTACATGTATGACAGAAGGAACTTTGCTGGAGACGCTAAGCAACAGACTGAGAGGTACCCTTCGTTTCATTGTGCCAGCTCGATCATGATCCGGTGGTCCCCCTTTGGTTATTGCCTTGTTCTTGGATCGTCGATGGATCAATCTCGTTACCAAAGGGAGATTGGTATTTTACTTTCTTTTTCGGTTGTGGTAAATTACATTTGTGGCTAAAAGGTAAAGATTGTTCGTGGACGGACGATAAATAAATTATTTAAGTGCCGACGAATTATTCGCCGTGGATCCAAGCATATAGAAGAAGCAACAAACAAACCACTGGTAGAGAATTGATCGCTGTCATAACTCATTTTTTTAGGAAGGAAATCATCATATGCTTTTTTAAAAATGGGTAAAAGTCTGCATAACTCATATATCATATATATGTTCCTCTTAATGATATGTAAGTAATCGGCGGTGCTAGCGCTGGGACGTCGCCCGAACGCCTACACCTACACGCTGTTTCGCGCGCCCACACGGGGCCCACACCACCCGAACGTCTATCGCGCTGCCCGACCCCATGTGGGGACAGCTCACGCCCCTCCACTTCCCATGCTCAGACGACTGCGCCCGGTCGGTGGTGCCCTAGCAGCTGCAGCAGGCGGGCAAGTGGGTCCCATGCAGCAACACCCGATCCACTTTTAAAACATTGTGAGGGAATAGACCCCCTATACCCTCATGGGTATACATGGGCCGCACCACCGGAAGTGGCCCAGTCCGCAAGGTGAAGACGTACGGAGCACGACATTATATTGTAATTGTACCAAATTGGATACTTTACTTGTAACATTGCCCCTTCGGACTATATAAGGAGGGGCAAGGGTCCCCTAGAGGACAGATCATACATATGATACAGATCATAATAAATCTCACCTCAATCAATACAAATAACAGAGCACAGGACGTAGGGTTTTACGCCACACTGGCGGCCTGAACCTGTATAAATCTTGTGTCTTGTGTCTCTGTAACCATCTGGTTCCTGATTACACGCATCCTACCGATAATCTACCACCACGAGCACCCCCCTCGGTGGACTGCCGACCATATTTCGTCGACAAACATCGAGATGAAATATTTGCAACATGCGTCTGAAGACAGATAAAACACTTGAAACATATATCTGAAACATTTGCAAAAAACACATAAAACACTTGAAAAGGCCATTACAAAAAGCACATCCAACATCCGGATAAAACACTTGCAAGATATGTGTAAAACATATGCAACACCCAAATAAACACACTTGCATTATACGTTTGAAAAAACAGATTAAACATTTGGAATAGATGCTTGCAACATATGTGTAAAAGCATTGCAACATGTTCAACATCTCAATCTACTTATGCAACATCCATATAAAACAATTGTAACATATCTCTAAAACACCTGAAACACTTTAAATATACGCTTGCAACATGCGGTTTCAACACAACATCTCCTTGCTGATTGGAAGAATGGAGACTCGTCGGCGTGTGGAGGCCGCAGCAGGTCTTCACACTGTGCGGGTGGAGCACGAGCTGTGCATGGGCGAGTTCCATCCCGGCCATCACGAGCTGTGCGCGGGCGAGTTCTATCCCAGTCACGGCGAGATGGGGAGGCAGAGCGCGAGATGTGTGCAGGCGGATTCCACTCGGGCTGCCGTGAGCTGCACGCGGGCGAGCTCCATCACTACGCTAGATTTGCACATCACTGCCGGCCTCATCACTGCTGGATTTGTGAGAACCGGCAGCGATGTACTTTCACTGTCAGTTATGAGCTTAAAAATGAGAAAATGATTGGGGCTGGGCTAAAACCGACAGTGAAGGACCACATCACTGCCGGTTTGTGGCTTAAACCGACAATGTTTTGGCGGGCACTTATCACTGTCGGTTCAAGCCACAAACCAGCAGTGATTTGGCTATATCATTGTCGATTCTAGCCAAGAATCGACGGTGATAAGCCTACAGCACAAAAAGGCTATAGACGTCCTCTTCTTCCTCCTCTCTTCCATCCCGAGAACAGAGGCGCGCGTTTGGGCCATTCCCTCCATTGTTGCGGCTGCTCTTCACCATGAAGCTAGCGTTTGGATTTTGAAGAATGGCTTGATCTTTTTGCTTTAAGGTTAGTAACAAACATCCACTCCTTTGATTTTGTTGCTTAATTAACTTGGTTTTGATGGCTACATTGCTTGATTTTCATTCTAGTTCTTTCTCCATTCTAGAGAGCACTTTTCCAATTGGACATTTGTGCAAGGCTTAAATTGTGGCGAATCCATCATCCAAACGGTTGGTGTCTATGAACACATTTAAATTCCTAGCTAATTATTCCATGGTGGTCAAGATCATCATTGTTAGTATGTGATGCTATAATTAGTTCTTAGAAGTAGAGTAGAATAGTTGTTCTTCAATATTGTGCAATAATTGTTTTTACTACGATTTTCAATTTACAGGGCCGGGGCTACCAATTTTAATTTTCCAATAATTAGTGTACAATAATGTTTTCAAAAAATGGTACTTTCGAGCTACAATTGTTGTTCATGAAGCTCGATTTCTTATTAATTCTTTGTAATTACTATCTCAGTATTTTTTTTGTGTAGAGATGGATCAAAAGTGGATGCATCTGTCTCGAACAGACAAGCGATACATGCATGGCGTCAGCCAGTTTATCACCGATGCCAAAGCCCATGCTGGGAATGGGAACCCTGTCTTTTGCCCATGCAAAGATTGCAAGAATCATAGGAACTTTCGTCAAATTGAGTCTATACGATCGCACTTGATTATCAGGGGGTTCATGCCAAACTATACGATATGGACTATGCATGGCGAGGTTGGTGTGAATATTCTGCAGAAAAATGATGATGATGTGGACATGCCTGACATAGCCATCCACGATGCTGACGAGGAACCCGGTGTCAACATGGAACCTATGGCCACAGTTAATAATGTGTTTAGGAACACGCTAGCTGACGACACTGAGGATAATGATGGCATTTCTCAGCTGCTATGTAATGTAGAGACCGGATGTCTTAGTGAAAGACAGCTGAGAAAGCTATAGAAAATGAGACAAGATGGCAAAACACCATTGTATAGGAATTGTTCAATGAGCAAACTAGAAGCCGACATCATGTTGTTAGAGTTCAAATCGACAAATAGATTGAGCGATAAAGGCTTCAATCAGTTGTTAGGTATAATAAGGAAAATGCTCCCAGAAAAAAATGAGTTGCCAGAAAAGACATACTTGGCCAAGCAAATGATCTTCCCCATTGGCCTCGAGGTTGAAAAAATCCACGCGTGTTCCAATGATTGCATATTGTACCGTGGAGAAAAATACAAAGACTTGGACAAGTGCCCCAACTATGAATCTCCATGGTACAAGGAAGGGTCGTCAGATGAGGGTACCAAAACCAGAGGAGGTCCCATAAAGGTCGTTTGGTATTTCCTTATAGCTCCTCGGGTGCATAGGCTGTTTGCATGTGCAAAGTCAGCCAAGCTGTTGCGTTGGCATGGCGAAGAGCGTAAGAAAGATACAATGATGAGGCACCCCGCCGATGGGCATGACTAGAGGACTGTCAATACTATGTTCTATAAGGACATCGGTGGAGAGGTAAGGCACCTTTGGTTTGCTTTGAGCACAGATGGGATGAATCCTTTCGACCAGGTTAGAAGCAATCATAACACCTAGCCAGTGACGCTCTTATATACAACCTTCCACCTTGGGTTTGTATGAAGCAGTCGTACATCCAGATGCCACTACTGATCCAAGGGCCAAGACAGCCTGGGAATGACATCGATGTGTTTTTGGAACCAGTGATCGATGAACTAGTGGAGATATTTGAAAAGGGTGTGCCGGATGTTTGGGACGAGTACAAAAAGGAACATGTCACAATCAAGGGAGTACTTATTGTTACAATCACCGACCTACCAGGTCGAGGTTCGTTGTCCGGAGAGAAGACAAAAGGCTATACTGGATGTGTCGAGTGCTTGGACGACACCGATGCGGTAAATCTGTCAAATAACTCAAAGATAGTTTATATGGGACACCATAGGTTCCTACCTAAGGATCACCCTTACCGCAGGAATAGAAAAGATTTCAACGGTACTATTGAGAAACGCTTAGCTCCAAAATATCAAGACGGGCCTGCGATACTTCGAGAACTCAACAAACTGGAGGTTGTCCTTGGGAAGGGGGACAATGTAGTAGCAGCGCCTGATGGGAGCGTTTGGAAGAAAAAATCGGTTTTTTGGAAACTACCTTACTAGCCATTTCTGAGTGTACGCCACTGTCTTGATCCCATGCACATCACTAAAAACATGTGCGCTAACACTCTTAACACCTTGATAGACACTGGGGGGACATCGAAGGATTCACTAGCCACACGCTTGGACATGCAATACTTGGGAATCAGGAAGGAGCTGCATCCTATGGAGCTAGAGAATGGCCAGTTTGAACTTCTAGTTGTGTCATGAACATTGAACAAGGAAGAAAAGTGTGCGCTTATTTCTTTCTTCAATGAACTCAAAGTCCCGACGGGCTACTGTGCGAACCCGAAGAGACTAGTGAACATGAGAGAACTCAAGTTCAACTATGGCCCTATGAAGGCCCATAACTGTCATGTCATTATGACTCAGCTGCTCCCTGTTGCCCTGCGTGGTATCCTCCCCCCAAAGGTCCGCGCCCCAATCATAAAGCTTTGCTTGTTCTTCA